CACTATGCTACCAGAGCTCCCCACAAATACTATAGTGATATTCATATATCAATAATATATAAATACCCAATCACAATACAAAGTTATAAAAATATATAAAGCACAAAAGTAAATCAATAAGAAAAATTGTATAAATAGAGAACTGAGCAAAGAACAAAAATGAACTACTCTGATGAAAACAGCAAAATGTTATTTTGTTCTATTTTAAATCTCATCCAACTACCATTTATTGAGGTCATTTTAAGTACTAGGCACTGAGGTAGGCATTGTGAAAGCAGATTAAATGAGATACTGTTCATGTTGCTCAAAATTCAGCAGAAGAACCCAACAAAACACTTGATGTTTCTAAAACAAAGTAGTTATTGTAGTACTAGAATTAGTCCTAGAGTTCAAAGGGCATAGTAGATTTGGAAGTTACTGACATAGACCAGATAATGTTAAATGTTTAAAAGCTGGACTCACACAGGAAAAGGCTGTGGAATTAAACTAATATTGGGCCTGGGACAGAGCCTGGAGAACGTGGACTTTAAAAGAAATGGGAGCTGCTGAAGGGGGAGGACCCTCAGAAATCCTGGTTTTAAATGAGAGCAGTGTGATGTTGTGGAGGCACTGGCATAGAAAGTTTGGTAGAGTGGAGGAGTGAAGTAATGATAAATAGTAGGTGGATACAAATTATAATAATGTTTCATCCAAACTCAGATCATCTCAGCTTAGGTTATTTTCTGTTTGTTTGTTTTTAAAATAATATTTCATTTTGACAAGATTGCTGTCAGACAGAATATTCCATTGTGGGAGGGTAATTTACTTTTTCTGCAAATTATTAGTCAATATCAAGATTTTCAAAGTGTTTACATCTTTAATCCAGTAAATCTACTTTAAGGAATCTTTCCTGAAAAAATAGTGGAAATGCAGTCAAAGATTTGGGAAGAAAGATCCTCATTATAGTATTATTTTTAGTAGGAAAATTTAGACTTATGTATCAAAAATCAAATGAATTGAAGTTTTTATTGATCCAAGTGACAGAATATTGAGCAACTGTTCATTTCAAATTTAGGATTCCCAGATTTTTAAAATATCATAAAAAGTAATCAATGTCCTCCTAATTCTACAAGTTGTTTATAAAACAATACATACTGTAATCTCAGTTATATTTGTATATATGCCTGCATACCTAAGCAAGAAGATTAACAAAATAATACCAGTGATTGTTTCTCATATTCATTGTTGTATTTATCTCATGTTTAAAATTTTTTGCAGTAATTATATACTATTTCTATAATCAAAGATCAACAATAGCTGTTTTGTTTTTTTTAAACACAATGGTCTTAATTTATTTTTCTCCTACAGAAAGTGTTAAAGCTCAACTTTTTTATTACAGTTGTACAACTGAGACTATTTATTGCTAAATTGGTAGAATGAATTGTTAAATGAAGTGTAATTTTCTTTAGGAGCTTCTAAAGAAGTACTCAGAGATGGATAATATTTATGAATGCTTGAATATATTCTCTCTTGATTTGGAAAAGGAAATTGAAACCCAAAAAGAGCTTTCAATTAGAATAAAAGCAAAACTCTCACTTCCGAATTCACAAACCAAACAAATGCAAAAACTTCTCAGTGTAAACCAAAGATGTTCCACAGAATTCTACAGAGTCATGGAGAAACTTAAGGTATCACATTTTGTATAATATATTTATAAATGTCCATAAATTTTAGTTATAAATTTCAATGTATTTAAGTACTGCTTTGGGAGTTGGCATATTTGATATTCATGTATTTACTACCAGATTATGTATAATACAGCTCATGTGCAAGATCATCAGTGTACCTAGAACTTGTTCATTTATGAAAACCTGAACTCTGCCTAATGGGCCTAGACACTGCTCAGGAGATAGATATAAATAACGTCTCAAATCATCTCGCAATCTAATGGATGAAGCAGACATAAGACAGGTAGGACATGCAGTGATAGATATATGTTCCTATGAAATACCAGATACAAAGTTGCACAAGATGTGACTGTGTATTGGAAGTCAGAGTCAAGCTCTAAAGCTTGGAGTTCACTTGTAGATGATGAGGAGCCATTGGGTAATTTTAAGTGGTAGGATAACATGAGCAAATTACCATTTTACGTACTTCACTGAAGAATGAATAATAAATTAGTTTGAGGGGAATAAGCCTGTTATCAGAGAGACTAGACAAGAGTCTGTTACAGTGATCCAGATGAGATATTGTGGTTGTCTGGACTACTAGAGAAGGAGCTCTGGTGGTGCAGTGGTTAAAGTGGCTACTAACTAGAAGGTCAGCACTTTGAACCCACCAGCTGCTCCACAAGGGAAAGATGAGGCAGTCTGCTTCTGTAAAGATTTACAGCCTTGGAAACCCTATAGGGCAGTTCTGCTTTGTCCTATAGGGTGGGTTTCGTTTTTTTAGTACTACAAGAGAGGTCCTTGGGTGGCACAAATGATTTGCACTCAGCTATGAACTGAAAGGTTGGCGTTTTTAATCCACCCAGATGCAGTGCAGAAAAGCCTGGTGCTGGTGCTCTGCTCCATAAGATTGCAGCCATTAAAACCCTGTAGAGTGCGATTCCACTCTGACACACGTAGGGTTGCCATGAGTTGGAATTGACTCGATGGCAATGAGTTTGGTATACTTCCAGGTAAGAGTCCTTGTGTGGTGCAGTTAAGTGCCCAGATACTAACCAAAAGGTTGACAGTTTAAATCACCCAGAGGCCCCTGGAAGTCTACTTCCAAAAGATCACACCCACTGAAAACCATATGGAGCACAGTTCTCTTCTGACACTCTTTGTGGTCACCATGAGTCAGAATCGACTCAACAGCAACTGGCTTAGTTTTTTGGTTTTTTTTTTTTTTTT